GGCGTGGGTGTGTGTGCAGGCGTGGGTGTGTGTGCAGCGTGGGTGTCTCTGCAGGCGTGGGTGTCTCTGCAGGCGTGGGTGTGTGCGCAGGCGTGTGTGTGTGTGCAGGCGTGGGTGTCTCTGTAGGCGTGGGTGTGTGCAGGCGTGGGTGTCTCTGCAGGCGCGGGTGTGTGTGCAGGCGTGGGTGTCTCTGCAGGCGTGGGTGTGTGTGCAGGCGTGGGTGTGTGCGCAGGCATGGGTGTGTTCGCAGGCATGGGTGTGTGCACAGGCGTGAGTGTGTGTGCAGGCGTGGGTGTGTGTGCAGGCGCGGGTGTGTGTGCAGGCGTGGGTGTCTCTGCAGGCGTGGGTGTGTGTGCAGGTGTGGGTGTGTGTGCAGGCGTGGGTGTGTGTGGTGTGGGTGTGTGCAGGTGTTGGTGTCTCTGCAGGCGTGGGTTTGTGTGCAGGCGTGGGTGTCTCTGCAGGCGTGGGTGTATGTGCAGGCGTGGGTGTGTGTGCAGGTGTGGGTGTGTGTGCAGGTGCGGGTGTGTGTGCAGGTGCGGGTGTCTCTACAGGCGTGGGTGTGTGCAGGCGTGGGTGTGCAGGTGTGGGTGTGTGTGCAGGCGTGGGTGTGTGTGGTGTGGGTGTGTGCAGGTGTTAGTGTCTCCGCAGGCGCGGGTGTGTGTGCAGGCGTGGGTGTGTGTGCAGGCGTGGGTGTATGCGCAGGCGTGGGTTTGTGTGCAGGCGCAGGTGTCTCTGCAGGCGTGGGTGTGTGTGCAGACGTGGGTGTATGCGCAGGTGTGGGTTTGTGTGCAGGCGTGGGTGTCTCTGCAGGCGCGGGTGTGTGCAGGTGTGGGTGTGCAGGCGTGGGTGTGTGCAGGTGTGGGTGTGTGTGCAGGCGTGGGTGTCTGCAGGCGTGGGTGTGTGTGCAGGCGTGTGTGTGCAGCCGTGGGTGTGTGTGCAGGCGTGTGTCTGCAGGTGTGGGTGTCTCTGCAGGCGTGGGCGTGTCTGCAGGCGTGGGTGTGTCTGCAGGCGTGGGCGTGTCTGCAGGTGTGGGTGTGTCTGCAGGTGTGGGTGTGTCTGCAGGCGTGGGTGTGTATCCCCAGGGGTCGAAGCCCTGGTGCTGAGATATCCCAGGAGTGGTGGCAGTCAGCATCTGCCCATCCTTTCTGGCTCGGGGCTGTTTCTGGCACAGTCAGGCCCCGAGACCCTGCTGCAGGCCTTGTTCAGGGGTCACTCCCTGCCTGGGCCTGGCTGCCTCTGCCCTGAGATGCTTCTCCTGAAGCCAGTGCTCAGGAAGGACTGCTGGGGGCAGCTTGCAGAGCCGTCCATTCCCTGGGCGCCAGGCCCCAGATCCCCGCTTCTCAGTGAAGCCCTGCCTGGCCTCCAACCCCAGGGTCGTCACAGGCCCCAGCCTGCCCGCTGTGCTGCATGCAGGGTTTCCACTGAGCCATGCAGAGGGAAGAACCCCGAGGGTCCGCGTGTAGCATGGTGCCATTCTCAGGGCCCCAGGCTTCTGTGCTGGCGAAAGTGGCAGCTACACCTGTCGGAAAAAGGCTGTGTCTGAGACTCCCCCAGCAGCACTGGGCGGAGCCAATCAGTGCAGGACTGAGACCTGTCTCTCTGTGACGGATACCTGTCTCGGGGACGATTCTGAAAGGTGCTTCTCTGCTCAGAATGCATGTGTGGCATGTGGGGACCCTCAGTGCTCAGAGCGCGTGCTTGGTGTGCGGGGACCCTCAGTGGATGGTGGCAGTCGTGTGTCCGTCCCACCCCGGGCATCAGAGGGTGGTGCTGCTGTCAGCCCAGCCAGTACCCCAGGGCCGGCTCCACCCTCCAGCTCAGCATCCCCATCCTCACTGCTGCCTGGAGCCCCTTCTGGGTGTAGGGAGAGACTCCCCACTGCCCACAGAAGAAAGCCCAAGTCACACGTGCGTCTCCTGGGACCGGACGCCTTTGCCCGGCCGCCTTTGCCCGGATGCCTTTGCCTGGCTGCCTTGGCCTGGACGTTCCTGGCAATCCTCCTTGCAAAGGCCCCCTCTAGGCCGGGGCCCTTCAGGGTCCCTCCTGCTGCACACACAGGGCCCCTCTGCCCTGGTGCCCCTCGTCCACCTCCCCTGGCCAGTGTCTTGTCTGCAAGGCCTGGGCACCGCCACCCAAAGGGGCTGCCCCGCTGCTTCCCTCCCAGCCCTGAGCTTGCCCTTTGGAACATGTCAGGCTTTGTTCGAGTTTCTCAGTGCGGAGCAACCTCTGCTCCGAGGGTCGACAACCCCCTGCCCTTTCCCAGACTGTCCAGCACCCGCCTCACCCGCCTTGCTGTGCCTTTGCCAAGGGGAAGAGTGGCTGGTTTTGTTCTTCCAGGCTGGGACGCTGCTATCAAGGGCTCAGGGGCATCGGAGCCAGGGTTTAAACAAAGTCTCAGCCAAGCAAGAGTGGGTCGGACACCGCGGGAGGAGGTCTGTCCTACGGCAGCGAGGGCGACTCAGAAGGTTCAGAGGGCTCCAGGGCAACTCGCAATCATTGTGAAATGCACGTCAAACAAGTTAAATAACCTTAACTTTTTATAACAACCTATTTATCAAAATGCATTGATTCTGGAATTGGAGTTGGCTGCCAATGGGCTGTGTATCTCCTCGGCCTGATGTGTGCATTAAAGGAGTTTTGTTCTGACAGATACAATGTAGCAATCAATAAACTCCTATTACCTGGATTTATGAGCTGCTTTGAATTCGGTGCTATTTCATGTCTCTGCCTTCCACTGTAATTGAAAATAAATCTCCCAATACTCAGATTTGAATTCTCTGGAAGTGTGGGTGGAGAGAGGTGCTGCAGTCCCCAGTCCCCCAGCGAGACCTTGTCTGTGGGCCTTGGAGGAAGCACTCCCGGCCGGGGGGTGTCCTGACCGGCACGCAAGATAAGAACAACGCCTGTTCTGCTGTGCAGATCCGGTTCCTGAGCCTGGATCTGGAGTGACACCAGCCCCCAAAGCCCGATCCCAGGAAACAGGGTGAAGAGAGGCCCAGAACCAGTCTGTCGGACTTTTGCTCCCAAATGACACTGATGCCAGCAACAGAATGTGAAGCTTGGCCCCTGGTCCTTGAGGAAAGCACCGAGGGAAGCCCAAGCCCCTGCCCTGACACCTCTGCCCCTGAGTCCCCGGCCTCCAAGCCTGGAACAGGTGCCCCGTGTGTGTGCAGAGAGAGGCAGCTGGAACAGGTGCCCCCGTGTGTGTGTAGAGAGGCAGCTGGAACAGGTGCCCCGTGTGTGTAGAGAGAGGCAGCTGGAACAGGTGCCCCCGTGTGTGTGTAGAGAGGCAGCTGGAACAGGTGCCCCGTGTGTG